TGGGCAGCAGTGTGAAGATGTAAGTCAGTGAGTCTCAGCAAGCCAGTAGCAGACCCGTGGGATTCAGGCAGATTTCTGGCTGCAAGTCCCAAGTTGAGCTCCCTGTCCTCCTGTAGGCTTGAACTCTGCAAGGTTGTACTGCAGGTTCCAGCTGCCCTCCCCCTGAAGATAGTCCAGGTTCTGATGGGAGGTGAAGATCCTTCCAATTTACCAAGTACGGTGGTCTTGTGTCTTCTGTGTCTTTGTAGTGTGGAACCAGGTATTGGTACAGCCAGGAGGCCAGAGGCAAGGGGGGATGGGGAGTAGGGGAGTGGGGTGTCCTGCAGGCGCCCACACGGCTAAGCAGATTGCCACCATGGGCATGGCCAGTGGCGAGGGGTCCTCACCTTCTGGCTGGTCCCCACCAGTGTGCGTGGCACAGGCTGGATGGAGCGGGGCCCTGGGCGACCTGGGACCTCTCTCTCCGGTGGGCTAAGTGGATCGCTGCCCTGCTGTGGGTGTCAGTTTGTTGCTTTTTATGATCACCTACTGAGAGTGGGATGTCTTTTACCAGAGTCCTTTATTTTTATATGGTTTTAACCAGTTCATCTGTTAAGGGTGTTAACTCTTTTATTCCCAAGGGAAAGTCAATGCAGGGTAGGACTATGCATGGCTCAGCCCTTTCTTCTCAACCCCTAGGATATGCCTCCTTTCAAGAGAGCATAGGCTTGACTCTGCTCCTCTAACGTGTAGGTGCTGTAGGGCAGTCCTGGGCATGGCCTGCAGTCATCCAGCAGGCCTGCACCTGGGAATGACCAATGGCGAGCTACACAGGAGAACATTCTTAGCCCCACTGTAACTGAAAGAGTGGCTTGGTGTTTCACGATGTCAAAGAGTGAAATAGTGGACAAAGAGGAAAGTTGCAAATAGGGAAGTTTACTGAGAAGCCAAAGCACACAAAGGAAAAGCTCCCACTAATTGGGAGGGGGCCTGGAAAGGGTTGCCAAAGAAGGTTTTTATCTAGGCATTCTTGTGAGTAAGCAGAGCATTGGAGTTTGCTCAGCATCAGGCAGGTACCTATCACAAGTAGACCCATTGGCTTAAACTGACCAATTAGCGGTTGGGGCTTCCTAACAATGTAAAAGTCCAGTTGCTCAGCATTCCTACATTGCTCAAAAACCAGCCCAGATTCAGGGAAGGGTTGTTTGCTCAGTGCAGTGCATTCCACTTGCCTAATTCCTTCCCAGGGTCATAGCCTTAACTGCCTGTCCATATCCTAACTCTGATAACCATGGAACTCACAGAGAAAGAACCTCATTCTCCAAAAGCTCTATTGGTAGTTAAGATAATATTTTATCTCCTCTTGCCTAGTTCTTGTGGCTCTTTTTGGGTTGTTGCTTTGGCCAGAAACTTGGAAAAGCATACAGAGTCTAATTTAAGAGCTAAAACAATCTTCGGAGATGGTGTCCACCGAACCTAAATTCAGATCTCTGGGTTTGGTGACATAACTTACATAGAGTTACAGACTTGGTGCTTGCAGAGCTGAGTGGCCTGGTATTCCCATGTAGCTGCTTTACATAGAGTCAGGATTCTTTGTTTGTTTGTTTCTTTGTTAACAGGCAAAAGTCCTTGCTTGCTGCCAGCCTCTTGGCTTTAGTGGGCAGGGAAATACATCCATTGCAGTGAAGAACGGTTCTGTAGATCTTTTAGGTACATATGGATTTCTTAAGTAGGGATTTTTTTCTCTTTTTACACAGCTTTTCTGCCAAGACTACATTCATAATCTTTAAACTGCAGCATCATTTGTATTCCACATTTGCTATAGGGAACTAGTGTATATATTACTGGGTAGCTCTTTCTAAAAGTGGCTTGCCAATTAAATGTTACTGAGTTTTGCGGTGCTCATGTCTCCTTCTGGAGCTGGTTTCCAGGTTCTTTTCATCTCAAATAACAAATTGGATGAAATGAATGAAAAATGGTAGCAAAGTTCATTTGAAAAAGTAAAAGTGAAGAGTGAGGGAGAAACTGGCTCTGCAGAGCTAGCTTGGGCTGAGTAAAAGAGGAAAAAGCATGATAAATATACCCCTTGGAGGACACAGGGTGAGCTATCATTTGGAAGGCCATGATCTGGATCTCTTCATGGTCTCTGTGTCTTTACGCTGTCCAAATCTCTAGGAACCTCATGAGAACTTCTATGTACGGGTCCTGAGAGGTGATGCTGGAATCCAATGCCTCAGGCTGAGGTCAGGTCTAGGCCATCTTATTGAAAACTTGATTGAGTTCTCATGAGAAATGCACAAGCAGGGTTTGGTGTCTCTTAATCAAGGAAATGAAAGACTTGTATATGGAAAACTATACATCACTGAAAGAAATGAAAGATGACACATTCCAATGGAAAGACATACTGTATTCATGGATTGCAAGCAGTTAATATTGTTTAGAATGATAGTGCCTGTGATGCATAGGGTGCAGTATGAACTTGATTAGCTTGGGAGCTGCGTAAGGACTGATGGAGCACATTTCTTTTTATAAATATTTTATTAATACATGTTTGCAGTACATACAACTTATAATCATCTTGGCTTCCTAAGGAACTGGTTCCTGGGATTCATTTCATCATGCACAGCCAACTATGCATTCAGGGGCCACTGCAGCCATGTTCTAGGGGAGTCTGGCTACTGCCTTTAATGAGAGCAGCCCTGGGCATCATGCACACAATGCTGATTTTACCAGCATGCACAGTGCAAGAGTTGTAGGGTCAGGGAGATTACTAGTCAGATTTTAGAGGAAGACCAGGCAAGGAGCCTCTGAGTGGGCAACAGGTGAAGCTATAGGAATGAGTACAAAGATGCAGTGGAGAGCCTAGGATGGTGGAGATGCCAGGAACATAGAATGTTTGCTGAGGAATGGTGTATCCCAAGAGTTCAGCTACCCCAAGGCAGAGGCTATATGGACTGCAAATAGCAAAGACATAGGGATGGGGCCACTCCAGCCCTCTGAAGCTCACCTCTCACAGCCATGTGCCCGGGATGATGGATATGGAGCTATAGGACTTAAAATTTGCCCTGCTGGGTTTGAATCTTGCTTTGGTCAGATTCTTTTCTAACCTCCTATTTCTACATTTTGGAATGGGAATATTTATTCTGCATCCAGCTAAGGGGTTTGCCTTCAGTCTCAGAAAAGTCTTCAGCTTGGACTTTTTAAAATGTTAGAAGTAATTATTTGGGGGAAGGAATTACTGTGTTTGTAATTATACACAGGATAGGTGTATTATGCCAGGCAGAATTATGAACTTGTATTGTTTTTATTTAGATATGTAAGTATGGTTTAAGAAGATGTGTTTGTTGAAGAGGAGGGATGCAGCAGTTAGGGTGAAACAACAACTTGATGGATTATGGTAGCCTCCCAGTGGATAAATGCAGTATACTTACTTCTGAGTATGTCTGGGGGGCTCATGGAGGCCTGGCCTGGGAGTCTATTTCTGGCTCTCAAGTCCTTCTTCTAGCACAGCTCTTCTGTGCTTCTTAGTCACCAGAAACTGAGCACCCATCTTTCCCCTACTCTTTCACCAGCCTGTTTCTGCCTTGGAGCCAGCCGAACATGTACTGAATCCCTGAGACCTGGAGGCAAATGAAACCTTTTTTCCTTGGAGCCAAGTATAGTGGCACACACCTGCTATCCCAGCACTCCGGCAGCTGAGGCAGGAGGACTACCATGAGTTTGAGGCCAGCCTGAGCTACATAGTAAGTTTAAGACCAGCCTGAATTACATAGCGAGACCCTGTATCAGAAAACTAAACCCAAACAAAGCAAAACCTTTTCTTTTAAATTGGGCATGTCAGGTTTTGTGTCCCAGTGGCAGTAAAGCTGTCTGATACAACAGCCAAGAGATCTATAGAGTCAATGTCCTCTAAATTCCAGTGAGGCTGAGCATCATGGGGCATGCCTGTAACCCCGACCACTGAGAAAGCTGAGGGAGAAGGATCATGAACCTGAGGCCAGACTGGGCAACTTAGCGATACCCTTCCTGTTTCAAATTAAAAAAGAAAAATGTCTGGAAGTGTAACTTACTGATAGAGTGCTTGCCTGGCATGTACAAGGCCTGGTTCATTTCCCAGTGCCACTAAAACAAACAACAACAGCAGTAACCACGACAAACCCAATGAATTTTTTTGTAGAAATATAAAATTCTGTCTTAAAAATTCCCATTCAAAGAACCCAGAATAGATAAAACAATCTTGAAATAAAAGAAGTAAATTGAAAACTCACACTTCCTGATTTCAAAATTTACTATAAAGGTATAGTACAACAGCATGGTGAAATACTTAATTTTTTTTTATAAAACCTAGCTCTCTGTCTCATTAAGTTGAAGAATGAAATCATGCACAACAGGATAAATTTAGGAGAGTGTTTATTAGGAACAGTAAGAAGAAAAGAGCTCTTGGTGGATACCCATGAAGAGGGGATAGAAGTCCAACATGGTTTCTTTGTCTTGCCTTCTATAGAGAAGAGTGGGATTTGTTTTAATCAGGTGGGTTTGTGGGTTTAATGTTTAAAGGAAATTAATTGTTTAGCTGGTTTACAGGAAACTGGTTACTCTGCATTTGTAAGTTTCTAGTTTGGAGGCAGGAAGGACCCGTTAACTATTTCTAGTCCAGAGGGATAAGAGACAATACCATCGTCTGGGAGAAAGATAAGATCCTGGGAGAAACGATCCTTGTCTCTCCATTGTTATCTGAACCTTTTGTCTTTTTTTCTTGTATTTTCTTTTATATCTCTAAGCTTGAGTATTTTCTTTTATCTGACTCCATTGCTAGGCTGCTCTGACTGCCTCTTCATAACTAAACTAAACTAAACTACTCCAATGCACTTGCAGAAAGATAGATTTATCTATCATAGAAAAGAATGGAGAGCTCAGAAATAAGCCCTTACATATGTAGTAAAATGGCCTTCAACTAGGGTACAAGGTTATTCAATGGGGAATTATATATATATATATTATATATAATATATATATTATATATAATATATATTTATATAACAATAAATAGTGCTGGGGAAGCAAGATATACAAAAATTAACGTAGTGGCCTTATACACCTGAAATCCCAGATACTCATTAGGCTAAGGTAGGAGGATCACAAATTTGAACCCAGCCTGTTTTAAAATAAAATGAAAAGGCTGGTGATAGAAAGCCCCAGTAAGCAGGAAAGCATCCCTGGGTTTCATCCTCAGTATAGGAAAAATAAATTAACTCTAAGTGGATCAAATACCTAAAAGAAATAAAATAATAAAGCTCTTAAGAGGACACCCAGGGCTGAGCTTGAGTCTTCTTGGCTTCTTTCAAAGATGACCTCCTGATCAGTTCTTCTATCAATGCTTCCTAGAAGGGAAAAAAATTGTACATAGTACAATTATTATAGTATATTAAAATGGAAACAGTACCCATCCCAGGAAAGCCCTGAAGCCTGAAGTATGCCATTGAGGGGCAGATAAACTTCACCCGTGATTTCAGGTTTCTTGGGCCCAAGTCAGTTCAGGGCATGACAAAGTGCCTGGTAGATGTGATCTGCAGCACATGCTACTGCAGCAGCCTGAGCAGCAGCCACTACCCATGAGGCAGGAATGCCCAGACATGGGGCCCCAGGTCTGGGCCCCTGGGGATAACTGGAGTGGAGGAGTCACCCACCCTTCTGCCCCATCACCAGTCCCAGGACCACAGCTGCTGTACCTGTGTGCTTGCTCCTGGGGACATTCTACCCACCCCCAGTTCCTGCCACCCCTTGACCCGCTCCTTATACCGGCAGCCTGCGAGGAGGGAGCAGCACCGGCGGCGCAGCCATGGGTACGCTGCTGGGCTTCATGGTGGGCACAGCACTGTTGTCCTCTGCCTGGGGGGAGCTGTACCCATGGTACAGTCCTTCATGGTCATGTGGACTGGAGGCTTCCAGAGAGCTTGTAACATCTGCAGTTTTCTGTGACTAGCAGTGGCAAAACAATATGTTATAAAACCCTTGATATATTCATGGACTTGTTTCAACTTTTATGAAAAAATGTGAGATGATTGTTTTTATCCTATGTTTCAAAGATAACAGGTATATCATTTATGTCAGCCTGACTCAGAAGAACCTCACCAAGTTGGTCTTACTTTGTTTATCATTGTCCCCTTTGCTCTGCCCTCCCTTTCTGTTCCCTTAAAAACCAAGTCTTGGGCCAGCGATTTAGCTCAGTGGTTTTGCCACCTGCCTCGCAAGCGGAAGGACCCAAGTTCAATCCCCGGTACAAAAAAAAAAGTAAAAACCAAGTCTTGCTTTTTTGAAGAGAAGCCTCAGGTCTCCCATAGGGTCTCAGGAACACCTTTTTTTTTTTTTTTTAAGCAAAGGGCAACCCATAATGTTCCAGTCCATGGGCATCTCCATCTCCTGTGAAAAACTGCAGGTAACTCTGAAGTCATGGGTAAGCAAATTCAATTTAATTACTCCTTTTAACTCTCTTCTCTGGAAAACCCTCCTCTAAATCTATCAGCATAATCGGGGCCAAGGGGGGACCCAAGTCAGAGCTTCTTTACTCTTCCTGAGACATGTCAGGTCAAGGATCTGATACTACATGCCCATGCAACGATCTGCAAAGAAAGGAGCTTGCTAATCAATAAACAATACAACTCCTAGAGACAATCTATCTTCCAAATCAAGTTGTTATTCATTACAAGGGACTCCAAAGGGATGTATCTAAACACTCTTTGGGAAATAAAAAGGCTGATACTGAGGCAAGAAGGTCAAGACCTTAGCCTTATTCCTGGTACCTGAGAACCACTAACAGTAGTCTAGAAAACAAACTGCTCCCTCTTCAAGAGACACTGTGACAAGCTATAAAACTCCTTCATGGGAAATGTTCATTCATATTTTCACAGGATTAGGGTAGCAGCAACCACTGGACAGGTCTGCAAAGCTTTCACACTGTGTGCTTATAATAACCCTGGCAATTCCAGACCACATCCTTTGCTTTAAAAAATGGTACTCCTGGAAACCTCTGGGAGGTCTGAGATTTCTCTTCAAAAAACAAGACTCCAGGGCCGGGGATTTAGCTCAGTGGTTTCATCGCCTGCTGCACAAGCACAAGGACCCAAGTTCGATCCCTGGTACCAAAAAAAACAAGACTCCAGTTCTGTTCCAAGTGGAGATAAGTAGAATCACTACAAATACACACTGGTAGTCTATCTAACATCCCTCTTTGCCTGCACAGGAAGGTGTGGAAATCTGTGGGGGACCAATTTACTGATTATGCCCAAAGCAGGCTGTAAAGAGTTAACCCCACAATTGGCTTGTTTTGAGAGACGAGTCTGGCCAAAGCCTACATGCCAAGGTCAGAGTGACTTTCACTCCAATCCCATTCCCACAACTAAAACTTTCTTAACTAGAAGGACAAGGTTCTAATTACAACCCTATATGTTGTCTATTCTGTTCCCAATTTGAAAATACTTTGTTTTTTTCCTTTACAAGCCTTGTCTACATTAGTATCCATAACAACTGCATGACTGCACATTTTTGCACATAGTTCGCCTTTACCCCAATTAATTACCTATAAAAATCAGTGGCTTGGACTAACCACTGCCTTTGCTGTTTGAGCAGCATTGGCCATCTTTGCTCCTTGTTTCTCTGTCTCTTTAGTTCTGTCTTTTAGGTTTTTTCTCAGCCTTGCACTGTAGCACCAAGCAGGAGATCAGAATGTACTGCAGAGTTCTCTGATAGAAATCTGACCTGCTCTTTCTCATATTTGGGCTCTATATCCCCAACCTAATAGTAAAGTTGCTCTCCTGACAAATTTATCAAGCTTTCTCCTATTGAACAGGCTCCACACATAGACACTAACTCTTTTCTCCTGGCAGGTTTGCCTTAGCTCAGCTGGTGAGCCACAACATCCTAAGGTAGTTAGGGGGAACATAATCCCCAGTAGGTAAGACCTACAGCCTTTTTCAGCTGAAGTATCCATATGAAAACAGAGACCTCCACACTCTCAGCACCCCAGAAAGAACTGTAAGGATTTATATCTCTCAGGGGGAAACAAGGCAGGAAATTAGGAGCTGAGCAATTGGGCCTGACCTGTCAATCACTGAGACCTGTCAATCACAGCCAGGACACATGGGCAGAACAGCTTCCAAGCCCTGCATGGAACCGCCCCAATCTGTCATCAGAATTGTGTATAAAAGACCCTGACTGTCCAGGTGTGGTGCTCATGCCTGTAATCCCAGCACTCAGGAGGCCGAGGCAGGAGGATCACTGGAAGTTTGAGGTCAGCTTGGGCTACACAGTGAGTACAAGGCCAGGCTGAATTACAGAGTGAGACTGTCTCAAAAAGACCCAAACAAACAAAACAACAAAAACCTAGCCATTAAGCTCATGGCTGCTGTGACCCCTGTGACCAATCTGCCCTGCACTTTACAGGACATTTCTTTTCCTACCTTAACTGGCCCCCACTTGCTCTACAGAGCATACTTTTCCTACCTTTACCTTTTTTTTGTTTTTGGTACCGGGGATCGAACTCAGGTCCTTGTGCTTGCACAGCAGGCGACGAAACTACTGAGCTAAATCCCCGGCCCTCCTACCTTTACCTTTAACTCCACCTTCAATACCTTGAGTAAATGTAAAACCCCTAAATTCTTCATTTGTCTTGTCCAATTATTTGAACAGGACCAGAGCATGGAAGGATACCCTGCGAACCTCACCATAGAATAAGAGGCCTGCAGTCCTAAGTCTACCATTATCTAGCATCAAGAATTTGATGCTAACATCTGAATATCTGTGTCTGCCTAAACTCAGATTTAAACCTAATCTCCAGTGTGATGGTCTTAGGTAGTAAGGAATTTGGGAGGTAATTAAGGCATAAGGCTGGATCCCTCATGATTGAGATTAGTGCCCTTATGAAAGAGGCACCAGGGAGCTTGTCTTTCCTGTCTTCAAGGGAGGGCACCATGTGAAGGCACCTTCTGTGAAGAACAGAGGGAGCTCACCCCATATACTGAACCTGCTGCTGCTGGAGCTTAGACCATGGACTTGCCAGTCCCCCAAACTGTCTGATGGTCCCAGATTACCCAGCCTAAGGCAACTTCTTATAGGAGCCTGAACACCCTGACACTAGCCAGCCACATAACTTCCCTGCCCTGGTCATCTTGGGCTGCTAAAACAAAACACCTCAGCTAGAGCAGCTGATAAAGATAAATTCATCTTCTCACACTTCTAGAGGCCATCATGCCAGGCTAAGGTGTTGGCATGTCTGTTTCCAGGCAGTGGCTTTCTTCTCCTAGGCTTGAAGATCATTGCTTCTTACTGTGTTCTCCAGCAGCTTCTCCTCTGTGTTGGTCCCTGGGGTGCAGGGAGGCCCCTCCAGTGTCGCCCCTCCAGTGTCTTTGTTATGGACATTAATCCTGTCTGATGAGGGCTCCATCCTTATGACTTCTACACCCTAATTACCTCCCAAAGGCCTCACCTTTAAACAGTCACACTGGGGCTTAGGGCTCTGACCCCTGAAATGTGACCCAAGGCACACATTTCAGGTCTCTAAGCAACAGCCCCTTCCCAGCACAGAAGTCTGAAGGAGACCCAAGGGAGAAACAAAAGGTGTGATCGTGCCTGACCAGGAAAGGCATCCACATTCCAGGGTGTACTTCATACTACTGGGACCTCAAAGGCCACGAAGATCCAAGTCCTGAAGTGCATCATTGCAAATTTTACACCACGAGCTCTCCTCATCCCTGCTGGATAACATTGGCTCCCTCAGGTCCCAGTTAAAGTGCCCTCCTCCTGCCCCACTTCCAAAATCCTGATCTCACCTTTTTTAGCAGTGCGTCATAGTATGCCGTATATTGTGCCAGCACCTCTTCTAGCTCCCGAGCTTGGGCCCTGAGTTCTTCTGCAAGCTCTGCCTTTGATTCATCCTTCAGTTCTTTCCAGTTCTTCCAGAGAGCAGACACCCCTTCATTAAGAGACATGGAAGCGAAGGCCCTGCCACTCATGCGAGCTATTTTTGCCATGCTCCATACTTTACCTGGACTGGCTTTCTGTACTCGTGTTCCCACTGGTGCTGAGACTTTACGAGCAATCTGACGGTGCTTGGCCGCAGTGCCTGGGTGTGTCTGGAATTTGACAGGCCAAAGGGCACGGATGCCTTTCTTGATAACCTTCAAGGCTCTCCCACACCTGTACAGAGCCTGACCAGCAGCCGTGACATCAGGTGATTGCTTTTCTCCTGTGTCTTTGAACTCTTGGTCACCCACGGGCACTTGGATACTGGCCTGAGCACGGAGTTTTCTATTGTGAGATTTTTCTCTTAACTCTGTCACCATAGTGCTAACTGCAGCTGCTGCTGACACACCTTTGCTTGCAGTTGAGAGTAGCAAGCTTGCTCCTGCTGTTACGGGAATTAGGGCAAAGCCCACAATGGTTGCAACTTCAGAGACAACAGTGACAGAGTTGGCCACCACTTTGGACTTGGTGAATTTTTTGTGCATTTTGTCAGCATCCTCTGCAAAGGCCTGAAGCGTTGTGATGAATTTTTCTTGCTCCTTTTTCCACTCAGGAAACTCTTTCAAAAATTTTGTTTCTTCAGCTGTCAGAGTTCCATCTTGTAACTCCATGTCATCCTCAGAAAATGAGTCATCCTCCTCCCTGTGGGAATGAGTGAAAGAAAGACTTGGCTTCAGACTCCTGATAGAAAAGGCAAACTCTTCAATCAGCTCATGTGGCTTTTGGATATTCTATTAGTTCCAGTTGTGAAGCCTTTAGCATCTCTTTAAAATATTCCCTGAACTTTGGGCCGGGGATTTAGCTCAGTGGTTCTGGCACCTGCCTCGAAAACACAAGGTCCTGAATTCAATCCCCGGTACCAAAAAAAACCAACAAAATATTCCCTGAAAAGTCCCATAGGGTCACTCAAAATTTCAAGGAAATTCTTCCTTTGGAAGAAGCTACTAGTTTCATGAATAGAGAAAGGTATAAGAAGCACATGTATATGAAAAGAACAATGGGAACAACCTCAGCTCTGGCCAAGAACATGAGGTGAGGAGATTCATCCTAAGGGACATTTCCAGGCTGGCCCATGAGAAAGACAGCACTGTTGTGGAGAGCAGCAGGGGATACTGAGATCTTGTTCAAGAGAGGGAACATGGGAGCAATGGAGGGAAACACCTGGGAAACACAGGAGGAAGTAGAGGCAAGGTGTTGGGCAGAGGATGGGAATCCTACTTGTAGAGGTGAGTCAGAGGCAGGACAGGCTCAGATTATGTAAAACTTCCTCCACAATGACAACTGTGGCTTTGGCTCCTATGGCCGTGCCTTCCATTCTCCGGGGAGCTGCACATTGAGAAGCTGAGATAAATTCTGACTGATGCTCTGGACATTTTCTTGGGCTCTCATCCAACTTTCTGTGGCACCAAAGCAAATTAGATTGGCCCTTCATGAAAGAAATTTGGGGCCCAGGGGCCAGACCTGCTTCCCCTAGTATTTCTCAGGACAGAGGGGTCTTTGTCACCTCAATTGAGTCCCAAACTGTCCAAAGCAGTGTCAGGGAGAAGAGCCACCATCCTCAGGATTTTTCTCTTGCCCAGTGCTATTGGTACATCTATTTCCTTCTGGGAAAGAGGATCCTGGTGACACTGATGTGTCCTGCACCAAAGGATGAGACCATTGCTGCAAAGAGCCAGAAGAGGATCAGAGTTTCCTTCTCCTTTTCAGTGGAAGGACCTTCAGAGTAAAGGTGACCCACTCGAAGGGACCCATGAATTCACGATGGAGCTCTGATGAAAGAGCAGGGCCCCATGAAGCCCACTGCTGTTCCTCCCCTCTGCCTGCCGATATCAGGGCTCCTCACTGAAACATGGTTGTACTTCAGTATCCACAGGTATGGGTTCCAGGATCCACTGAAGATACCAAATATAAGGATGCTCCGATTCCTTACATAAAACGGCATAGTTTTGCATCTAACTTATGCACATTCTCCCATACAAATCATCTCTAAATAACTATGATACCTAACACAATGAAAAAGTCATGTAAATAGTTGTCTGTATTGTTTACAGAATGATGATAAAGAAAAGAAACATCCGGACATGTTTGCACAGATACCGCCATCATGAGCCTGACTACAGAGAATCTGAACTATGGTGGGCTGAGTCACAAATGTGGAATCCAGGGTATTGAGTGCTGACTGTATATTCTTGTACGTGTAGGAATGTACATACTTTTAAATCTCTCTCTCTCTCTCCACACACACACACACACACACACACACAATTTCTCAGCTGAGAAGGTTAAAAATCAAATACATGACCACAAAAATCCTTCAGTTTAACAAATTTGGGCCCAATTATCAGTTCATGAGCAGATATAAATCAGTTCACAGGGAAGAAGGTATGAAGGGGTATGAAGGCAAGAAGGTGGGCCCTGTGAGGAGCCCTAAACATACAGGTGTTACAGGCCATACCACCCCAATCCTGTGTATAAGGACAGGGAGAAAGCACAAGTAGCAGTGTCACTCCAAACATCAGCTGTGTATTCGATCCAACACTTTATTTTGATGTGGTTCAGAGCTACTAGAATATTGGCTTCCTATGCTTCTTAATTAAAACAAGTATCCCAAATGTAGACACTTTGTTGCAAGACTTCCTGTGTCAGGCAGCCACATCTCCTCACTTAGGGTAAGACCACAATCTAGTTCTGCGAAACAGTGCACACGTAGCTCACTAATGCATCATGCTAGCCATGCTTTCTTGCTTGTCCATATTGAGCTGGATGCTGGTGGAGGTGCATGTGCCAATTATTGGACTCCTGGTATTAAATTTACTCATTTGTTTATGCTAAAGAATTTAGTTGTATGTAAGCCAAGAAGTTCTTGTCTTCCTGGATCTCATAGTGGGAGGGATCGGAGTGGGCAGTTTCTGTCCTTGGATGGAATTTCTGCATGCAATGGCATGCACCTGACTAAATCTTTTACTTGTATTTCAAAATATTTAGTTAGGATTCATGGCATGTTTGTTCCCTGCAATAACCGACATTCATGTGCATAACCGAAACCAGTAAGAAGACAAGGTGTGCTGTACAAAAGCACATTTACTCTTAATCAATAGGTTGTCTGCAGCCCTTTCCCCAGTGACCTAACTCTAGGTTTATCTTTGCAAACACCAGCCTTGCTTTCTTACCCAGCTTGGTTGTCTGGCTGTCTCTTGAGCTCCAAATCCGTGTTCCAAGGAATCTCATGTCTTTCTGGTTAGAAATGTGGAAATCAAGGTTACTGTACATATCTTATGAAGTCCAAGTGTAGAGGAATTTTAGCTTTTGCAGAAATCATAATGACACACATAATACACTGATTATTTGCAAATTATTGCTTTAAAACTTCACTTTAAGGATCATGCCTGTACTATAGGCTTCAAACTCTAAACTTCCGACTCCTAGCAGGCTCTGTACCTTTGTTTCCCTCAGCACAGGGCCACACAAGTGACTATCAAACAACTGACCTGATCGAGGAAGAGACCAACACCCTGCAGAAGTAAGCCTTCCCAGAGGAATTAGCTGCTTGAGGGAAAAATAATAGATAGGCCAATAGCACTAGCTCCAAGAAAAGCCCATAGCCGATACAAACAAACAAACAAAAACAAAAGCAATGTGAGACTGTACACTGAGAGTGACTTTTTCACAGCAGGACTGGACTGGAGAAGAAATCTAGTGCAACACCGACCATATGGCCAGAGAGCCTAATCAGGTGCCATTTGGGGAAGGGGTTGACCATGTGGGACTGAGTTACAAAACACCCACACTACAGCTTCACTCCAGGACCGAAGTGTTACCCTACCACGTGATTGGGTGAGAGAGAGCCACAGGAGACAGACGAGGAGAGGATGAGAGCTAGACATATTTTTCCCTAGATCTCCTGAGAGGTCACATTCTGTGGCGGAAGGCAGGTTCAGTGGGTCTGGCTTTTAGAGGTGGCTGGATCTGAAGGTGATGGCACTGAGTCCTGGGATCTGCTTGAGCATCTTCCCTGCTGCCTACATGCAGAGGAGCCCAGTGGTCTGGTTGCTTCCCCATGTACCGATGTGAGTGGGGATGAGTCTCAGCTTGGATAGCTGCCATGGCCTGGGGTTTATAGATAGGGGGCCTTTTGAGCAGAGAGGCTACCTCACAAATCCACAGGCTATTATGTGCTACAGAGAGGTCTGTGACTTGCTAGATTTTATTTTTTATTATTTACTTCTTTATTTATTTTGGTACTGGGGATCGAACTCAGGACCTTGTGCTTGCAAGGCAGGCAGTGGAACCACTGAGCTAAATCCCTGGCCCAACTTGCTGTATTTTAAAGACTGCAGGTCCCAAAAGTGACGACTCATCTGGAAATACACAGGAATTTTTTTCTTCATTTGACCCAATTCTTTGCTTTTTTTCCTATTGAGCTTTTGTTGTTGTTGTTATTGTTGTTATTGTTTCCTTTCTATGTTTTGGGGATGTATGGAGTTTTTGCTCCCATTATCTTTCCCCCTTTTAAAAATAATATTATATTATTTATTTGAGCTATTCCTCTTCTCACTGTTTTCTTTCCTTTTTTAATTTGTTCCCTAGTTATGTTTTTTAGTTTATTCTTTATCTTTGATTATTTATTCTTTTTCTTGTTGGCCTTTTCTCTTTTTATCTAACACTACCTATTTCCTTTTACTCCTTTATTCAGGTTTCCATTCCATACCTCTCTGCTTACAAGAATAACCATTAAGCTTTATGAATCTATAGCTACTTAAACCTCTTATTATGGTTTAACATTGTTAGATTGTTAATGGAGATGCAGTTGTTCTACTGAGTAGATATTTACTGTAGATCAAGATCTGGTTTGTCTTAGTGTTTATACTACAACGAAAGATCTTTTTCCTATGGTTAAGGGTGGCACATTATTAGTTTTTAGGGTTTTTCAATATCCAGTTTGTATTTGACACTATTGTTGTTGATTTTACTACTTTAGCCAAGGTGACAGAGTTGTTGCTATCAATTGGCTTTCTCCTTGTGCCAATATTTGGATTGCCTGTGGATCATAAACAATACTGCTGCCCATTCCCAAAACTGGGTACCAGGGCAAATAAACTGCAACCCGCTTTCCCACATAAACAAAGGTGGTTGGATCCTGGGACAGAAGCAAAGGCCAATGGTCAGCTACACTCAGAAGACATTTTGACATAAGGATTATTTTGAGTTGAGAGCCAGTAACAAGAAGCAGATACAGTATTCTCCAGCTGTAAGATTCTAAGGGGAGGCCGGGGATATAATTCAGTGGTTCCACTGCCTGCCTCACAAGCACAAGGTCCCAAGTTCGATCCCCAGTACTAAAAAAAAAAAAAAAAAAAGATTCTAAGGGGATGCTAAGGCAGAGGGTGGTACAAACCCGATGTATACTCTTTTATGCTGAGTGACTAAAAGGCAGGCAGTATATAGAGTGTAGAAATGCCGGAAGAAGGGAGGAATCATGTCCCAGGCATGTCACAAGATTTCATCAGATTACACAGAACAGTGGAGAATTTAAAGCATTTTAATTCTTTCTCAAAATTTTCTGGAAATAAACAACAATTTTTCCCACTTACAGAATGTGAAAAATTTTTGCCAGCTAGTCCTCAGACAGAAGACTAACATCTAGAATATCTAAAGAACTCAAAAAAGTTAGAACCCCCCAACAACAACAAAAAAGGGCAATCAAAATGAATAGCTACTTCTCAGAAGAAGTAGATGGCCAATGAATACATGAAAAAACATCTAACATTTCTGGCCATTCAGAGAAATGCAATTAAAGAACACTGAGTTTCCTTCTCACTCTAAAAAGAATGGATATCAATCAAGAAATAGAGTTATAAAAATTGCTGGGAAAGCTGGGTGAAAAAGTAACCCTTCTGTATTGTTGGGAGTAAAATAAACTAGTACATTCACCATGAAGAGCAGTATAGTGATTCCTCAGAAAACTAAAAACAGAAATTCCATTCAACCTAGCTATTCCCCTTCTAGGATATCTTCCTGAAAGTGTTAAAACCATCATATTACGGTGATATATGTATATACATATTTATAGCAGCATAATTTATAATAGCTAAATCATGAAAACCACCTAGATGCCCATGAGCAGATTCATGGATAAAGAAAATGTAGTTTTTATATACAATGGAGTACAGCTGTGTCACAGAAGGATAAACTTGAGGCATTTGTAGGTAAATGGATGCACACTGTGACCATAATGTTAAGTGAAATAAATCAGACACACAAGTTTGAACATCACATGATTTTCCTTATATGAGAAACCCAAAATATAAAGAGCAAAAAAAAAGATATATTACAGGAAATCAGGAGATGTTTTCCAAACAGGAAGGTAAATAAGAGACAAAGGGAGGGGGAGAGGGAAGGAAGGGAAAAATAATTTTTTAAAAGAATAGAAGAAAAAACAGAAATAGAGCTTTTTCAAATTGGAAGGGAAACAAGAGTTGTAGGGAACAGGTGGGAATGGGAGGGAAGGGGACAAAAAAGAACTAAGATGTATTATGTACACTCACAAACTCCCCATAATAAATATAATCCTTATATACTGCAAACATGTATTAATAAAAATAAATAGAAATAAATAGCTTATACATAGTAAGTGTACACCATGAAGTCCTAAGCTCAAAAATGTTAACGTCTATATTGGAGGGTAACACGATATGCAACCTCCAAATGCGCCACTTTGGCATAAGGATTATTTTGAGTTGAGACCCAGTAACAAGAAGCAGATACAGTATTCACCAGCTGTAAGATTCTCAGGGGATGCTAAGGCAGAGGGTGGTACAAACCCTATGTATGCTCTTTTATGCTGAGTGACTGAAAGGCAGGCAGTATATAGAGTGTAGAAATGCTCGAAGAAGGAAGGAATCATGTCCCAGGCATGTCAGAACAAGACAGTACAAGATTTCATCAGATTACATAGAGCAGTGCAGAATTTAAAACATTTTAATTATTTCTAGAAATTTTCATTTAATACTTTTGGGACAAAGTTGACTGTGGGTAATTGAAACCACAAAACGAAAAAGGGAGAGAAGAGGCGACAACTATCTACACAAAAATTGCCACCCAGATCAGGATTTACCTCTCTCTTCCTGTAATCCTCACCCTACACCACAGATGACCACAGCTCTGACTTCTATAAGCATTAAGTTGCTTATTCTTGAACTTTGTAAATATAGGGTCATTTGCTTGGCATTTTTACCTCAAGGTAATTTCCTCAGAATTCATCCATGCGGTTGGGAGTATTAATGGCTTTAAAATTATTTCTATGTAGCATTTAATTAATATATTCTACATGTTTTCTATATTCTTCTATCTATTGATGTATTTGGGTTATTTCCAATCATTGGCTATTGTGAAGAAATTGACTGTAGGGACTAAAAGTTCATTTTCACAGGACAAGGCAATATTCAGAATTCTGTTCAGATTATATTCACAAGGACATATGACTTCTGATTTTGTGATTTAAAATGTTAAATAAAAATTACAGGAGGCCCTAGTTTTGCATTAAGCTCCTGAACAGGACTCCAACAGACCAAACTAAAAGCCGACAGGGAGTCACTCATACTAACGTTTCCAACTGAACTCAGGCTGTGCCACCTGACACTCAGATGTGAGGAGAGAGAGGTAAGAGTCAGATTTCCTAAACAGGGAAGTTTCAGCCAATCCGATAATGCAGTTTCTGTTGCCTCAACCCTTGCCTAAAAAGTCACCTGCAGTAACCATATGTTAGCTGTTTATTTTCCTGTTGTCCTGCCTTACAAGGAAAGTGACTGGGAAGTGACCCATTGCTCTGTGTGTGTCGTTTCTGCTTCCTTCAGCCCCTTTCTGACTATACAACCCACCTCCTGTGCTCAGCTCATTGGAAGGCTCTATTTTATAGACTGAAGTGTCATCCATTTCTAGAGGAAAAAATAAAGACATATAATTTTGTAAAATTCAATTTTATACTTTTTTATTTTGTATTTTGAGAGGGAGAAATGTATATTTGATCCTCCTATCTGTTCATGACAAAGTGCTCCTAAAGCACTTCAATTTCCTAGGTGATAAGGGCACTAACAGGGAAGGAGTGTCATTATTCCCAAGAAGCTCCTTTCCTCAACACCCTGTTTCTGTTAATGAAGTGACTTTTGCAAAGTCCCTAAGGATGGTAAGAAAGGGGCTGTTGCCTGGGAAACCAACCCCGACTGGAATTTCATCCCTGCGCATCACTTCAGGAACTGGGGAGGGGCTGAAGACTGACTTAATCACTGGGGGCTGACACTACCTGAATCATGCCTATGCAGTGATTCCTCCATGGAAATCCCAAAAGAACCAAGGGCAGGAGAGTCTCAGAGCAGGTGAAAGGTGGCAGCACCTGGACAACAGCACCCCAGAAAGTGCACAGAAGTTCTAGAGAACATGAATGAAGCGCTTCCTGGAGCTGTGAGAGCCACTCTTGCAACTATAGAACCTGAGGGGGAGGCGGTGGGGAACATCAGCCCATATTCTGTCCCATGTCCGAGAGGTGTGCACGTGTGAGTGGTGTGTGGAGAGACTTGGACGAGGCAGACAGTCTGAGTTAGGCTGCAGGCACACACTGGGTCTCCCTGAGAGGCGTGTCTGAAGGGGGGGGGTTGTTTTAAATATTCAGCGTGCGCTGTGGTCACAGATTTCTATGACCGATATGTTGTGATCACACCCTGCGTTTCTATGACTAAAATGATACTGAGGACTTTTCTTCACTGACAACCAACTCAACAAACATCAACTGATTGTCCTCTCACAACTCAATTCTGACACTATCTACTTGGAGATAGCACCAAGTCCCACAGGCTAAGGGTTCAGTACCGTATGACCGGCCCCACTTTAAAGGCCAGTTGGACATCCAGGCCTCTGGAACATCTGACCAACAGCCTACAAATTAGGATTTCCTGTCACCCCCTCACCAGTTTTGATTAATTCGCTACAACAGGTCACAGATCTAAGGGGAACACTCTACTTAGGTATAGTCATTTGCTATGGGGGAAATGAGAAAGGGTACAGATGAACAGCCAGATGGAGAGGTGCACAAGGCACAGTTCACCCTTGTGTTCCACCCTCCGGGGATGTCCTTGGGCTCAGCTAGCTGTCTGCAAGCTCACCGAACCCCAGAAATTAGAGATTTTGTGGAGGCTGCAGCACATTGGCACCATCAGTCATCAGCTCACTCTCCAGCTCCTCTTCAATTCCCAAGGAATGAGGGGGGAAATGAGGGAGCGGAAAGTTTCAAGGCTCAAATGCTGGCTTGGTCCTTCAGGGTGATGAGCCCCCTAGCCAGGAGCCCACCATAGAGCTGCCTCATTGGAACAAAAGATGCTCCCACCTCTCAGGAAATTCCAGGAGACAAAGAGCTCAGTGTCAGAGGCTCCTATCACACAGAAAAGTACAAACATCCTCAGTTCTGTTTGGAAAACTGGACTCAAAGTTCAAATATTAAAACAAAGCAACCTTCTAGGGCCCTTGTCTGCAAGAGTATCAGAAGCTCTATGGCAGGAACTCGGGACAGAAACCAATATGTATAGTTCTTATTATTTCAAAATTGCAAGCGAGGAAGCTGTGAGGTAGGTTAGGAATGCAGCAGTCACTAGAGCAAGAAGGGTGGCGGCTTGGGCTAGGCAACCGTAGTGACAGCCTGGACACAAAGCAATGCACATATTCCCCCAGAGGATGTGGGATGTGAGAGGGAAATTTCAGGGTGACTTCAATTCTGGGACCCAAAAAGTGTCACAGTGAGGATGCCTGTGCTGGGACCGGAAGGAGTGAGGGTCTTTCAGGCAGGTTGTGTGTGTTATAGGGTACTGAGCTCTAGCTGAGTCTGTGTTTGCAGACATCCAAGTAATGGGTGGGTAGGCAATCGGTGCGTGAGTCAGCTTTTCTGGGCATTGAACTTGGCAGCCATCAGTGTAGGACGCTGTGAAAGCCATGTCCTGATTGAGAGCCCTTGGGAAAGTGGAATACTAGCAACAAAAAGTATGTGAGCCCTCCACCACTCAACAGTTAAAAGAGGTAAAAACACCAAGAGGTAGAGGACAGGTACAGCTGTGGATCAACCAAGAAGCACATCTTGAAATCTAAGGAAAATGATAAAATACGATGGACAGATCTTTTTATACTTTCTTTTTCTTTTCTTTCTTTTTTGGAAGCTCTGGGCCTTGGGTGTGCTAGGCTAGTGCTCTACCATTAAGCTACAGCCCCCCCAACCCAATCCTTGTACACTTCAACATCCGGACCATTTTGCTTTCCTCCTTTCTCCTACGAAGGCATGGATGCCTTCCACCTTACCTGGCTCTGATGGGAGTGAATAGGAACGATGAAAATCTCGGCAGGCAGGAAATCTCTCTGGTGGAATGCTCAGAGGGGCATCTCCAAAGGCGGCCATGTTTAGACTGGCCAGGTATCCTTGTTGTCCAGGGAGGCTGTCAGACTTCCTAGCAGAGGAATGCAGACACAATTATTAACAAGGTAAAAATACTCTAATTAAAGAAAAGTGATCTCTGATTGGATCTGAAAGCCAACTCCACCTATGAGCTTTTGCAAGAGATGAGTCTGAAATGGTAAATTTGCTGTCCGGTTTTACACATCAGAAGCAGAGCTTGAATTCCATCTCAAGCTCACGGAGTCCCCAGCTGCCTGGAATGTGAACCCCAGCTACTCCGATAACCTCTGTTTTTCCGGAACCAACTCTTGGCCACTTGGTCCTGCTGGGGCCAGCAGCAGTCCTCTCTCCCTCCCTGCTCTCCCCGCGGTCTCTGTCCTCACCTCTCTCCGAGGGGCTGTTGTCTGGCACGGAGCTGCAAACAGCTGAGATGCTCTAGGACTGAGGCAAGACTGAGGCAAGAGCAGCTTCGCAGTCTTCGTCACTGACCAGGGGAAAAAGCCTCTGGAGGTGGGGACAGAGCACGATTTCGCAACAGGACTGGACTGACCGCTGCAGGCATTGCAAAGCAACTGCCCATGGCTTCCCAAAATGGAAATGCTCTTCCAGTATTGTTTTGGTTTTCCCCTGGTAGCTACACAGGGAGGTAGGAAAGCAGAATCAAAGCCTGAGCCTTCTAGGGACAGGAGTGCAGACCTCTAATTTCAATGGAACATCTGTGGCAGGAGGACTGTGAGTAGAAGGCCAACCTGGCCAACCCAGAGAGACCTCATGTCAAAATTTTAGAAAGAAAAAACAACTTTTGAAGTCTGGGGATGTAACGCAACGGCAGAGCACCCCTGAGTTTGCGCCTCCCAACCACAAACAGAGCACAGTGGCGAAAGCCTCATTTCCCATTTCTCCTTCCCAGCCACGTGACAGGCTGCATGATAGGGGGTTACTGCCCGTCCAGGACACTGATTGATTACTTCTGGATGGCGGCATTACTGGTGATGTTAATCCTCCGGTCCGTTTCTCTATTTTCTACAGCAAGTGTGTCATTCAAAATTAAAAACATTATTGGAAAAACCTTTAATTCCTTGCTGCTAATTTAAAACCAATTATGCTTTTTCTCTCAGTGAGGAAAGGAGCTACAATAGAAGTCCTAATTATTGGTAAGTAACAAACTTTGGCTAGACTTTAAGTAATCTTATTAGGGGACTAAGTTACCAGTTTTCCATGATTAGCTAGGATCCAAATGTATTCTCTTTCATGTCTTATTTCCATGTGTTGAGGCCTTATTTGCACATATAAAACTGACTTTCAGAATTAATCAACGAGCTGGCTCCACGATCTAAACCCAGGTCCAGCTGCCTGGATGAGAAGACAGGTACCTTTTCCTGTGCTGACAAGAGACTCAGGAATCCTTTCTAAACTTCATCAATACTCTTTCATGTGTTTGTGAAAGTAATGTATTTCCCTGATGCTAGAGATAAGGTGTTTACCTGCATAGTTTTGTTCAGACTAGGAGAAACCGCTTCAGCAAAGTAGGGAATCATAGACATCCTCAGTGAACAAGCCTATAGCTCCTAAATTGCTTAGTCCATTTGCTTCCATTTTCCCTGAAAGACTTTATTTTTCCTTTAAGTACTGGGAATCAAACCCAGGGCCTCGACCTTGCTGGGCAGGCACTATACCACTGAACTATACATCCCCAGCCCTTGAGAGGACTTCTGTTTTGAATGACTCTTTGCAACTTCCAAAGAGCCTCTGCACTAACCAACCCCAGGAGAGAAGACTGAGTAATTGGTCTCTCTCCAATTTACCAATCAAATATCAAGGAGCTAAATCTTAATAAGCCCAAAGGGAAAAATCTTTATTATGCCAGTAATTTTTAGAGAAATATAAAATCTAGAAGAAAAACCAAAAACCAACGTTCATGCTCACTTACGTCTACCATTACCTGGGTCCATCATTTCACTGGGAAGCTAGGAAAACCCCTGTTTTATCCCCAGCCCTTATTTATTTATTTATTAAATGTTGAGGCAGGGTCTGTGAAATCACTAAGTTGCCCAGGCTGGGCTCAAACTTGCAGTCCTCCTGCCTCAGCTTCCCAGAGTGCTGGGATCACAGGTGTGTACCACCACACCCAGCTAAGACCCATTTCTTTTTGAATTACCCAAAATGAGTCCATTGATGTCACAAGAAGATGGATTACAAAGGCGTTCTCTGATGATAGCCTTCCACCATGTAACATACAAGTCAAAGCATGTTCAACAAATAGTCCTCCTGCACCTGGCAAGATTGTTCTCGTCTCCTAAATAGGGATCCTAAGACTAAGATTTGACAGTGACCCACACAATATCTTTTCTTCTTCTTTACTAACTGAAATCCAAATGGCAATACACTCAAGTCAAAAGTTACATTTTCCAGGGTGGTATATGTAGAAATGTGTCACTCAGATCCCCTTGTTTAAGGAAAGGATTGCTAGCCACTGCAAGGTGTGTGGCTAAGTGACACCCCCCAGTCATGAACTCTTGCAACTTTCAAACTGCAATCATGTCCTTCTGAGGGCTGCCCCCAGCCAAATACTAAGCAAGATGCTAGTACAAAGTCTGGCCATTTTCATCCCACACAGGGTTTCTGAGGTGGGCAATCTTGCTTTGCAGCCTGTGCACTGGAGCCGGTAGAGATGTCCTAAAGTTTGCAACAGGGAATGATGGCTACCCCTGCTCAATTCAGCTCTTGTCTGTTTTACAAGAGTTATTCACCATTACACTTTTGGCATGTCTAACTCTGTCTCATTATCAACTTCCTGAAAAACACAATCAGCAACACCTAGCTTCTCTCATGGCTTTGGGCATCCATATGAAATAGTTGTGGTCAGTGAGACATAAGCAGAAGCTGTTCAGTAGGATTCTAGGAAAGCTCTCTTATCAGAAGAAGTCTCACTTTTGCTCTTTCCATTTCCCTTTCTTTCTACCTGCATTTGGAGGGGTGGAGCAGCCATCTTGTGCCAATGAGGTAATAAGGACAAAGTCTAAAACCACATACTAAGGATAGCAGAGTAAAAACCTGGGAGAAAACTGGCTCCTGAAGGCATTGTGAAGTGACCCCATCAGCCTTGACCATCTATCTCTGGATTTATTATTCTGTGAAACAAATAACCCCTTACTTAAACAGGTTTTAGAGTGGAATGAACCCTAACTAACTCATGGGACATAGGGAAATATTCATGGTATATTACTAAGCAAGAAAAAACAAGTTAGAGTGGTATGCAGAGCAGTGTCCCAATTATTTATGTGAGGATACATATATCTGTACACCTTTGATGTATGCATTTTCACAGATATTAAATATATTTTCTCCATCAAAATATAAAAGATACATTTAAGAAGGGGGGCTGTGGTGACAGCTACCTATCCATCCAAATTACTTCCTAGAGTGAGAGGACAGAGTGACAGTGAATTCACCTCCTGTCCCTTCCATAATGGTTTGACTCCTATGGAATAACCAATCAGCATGTGAAAAATTCTTTGTGTAAGGCAGAAAGCAAACATTTGTCAACTCAGTAAGATACATATCGATTTGTCTAGGAAACTGCAAAGCCAAATATTTTATATAATCCAAGCCAAGAAATTCTTTTCCTAATAGAAGAGGAAAAATTTCTACTTTGTCATCATTTGAGAGTTTCTAATGAGAAGGTAAAACATCTAATTTTTAAATTACTGAATAAAAGAAATGAAGCAGCTACCCCATTCATAAGGCAGTAGAAGGGGTTTTGAACTAGAAATCAGAAAATCTGAAATATATACCTGGTATATAAATAACTTCTCTAAAGGAGGTGTTATGGTTTACAGCCAGAATTCCACACACACACACACACACACACACACACCCCACCCCCGCTGAGCCTCATGCACTCAAAGGCAGGACTTGTGGACAGTGGTTGGCAGAGGTTCTATAGCTGGCTTACTGTTAGAAGCTGGGGTCTGATTAGAGGATAGAGGTCACCGGGGACATGGGCTGGAAGGGTACTTCTTTCTCTCCGGTTCCTCCCTTGACTGTCTCCACTTCCTGTCTGCCATGCCATGAACAGGTCTCCTCTGGCATGGTCCTCTGCCATGCCTTTCTGCCTTGGAACCAGTCAACTATGGACTGAAACATGAGCCAAAAGAAACCTCTCCTTTCTTAAATTGTGGGTGTTAGGTGTGTTGTCCCAGCAATGAGTAAAATAACTAGGACAGATTTTGGTACCAGAGAAGTGGGGTCATTGGCTGTGACACTACCTGACCACATGATTCAGAAGCCTTTGGGAGTGGAGCATGAGAGAAGTTTGGAAAGGTTTGGAGATGCCAGCTAGAGAAGCCCTACAATGCTATAAACTGAGCTTGATGGGAAATCCTGGTTGGAGCTTAGAAGACCAGAATGCTGATAGAAATGCAGATGGTTAAGACTAGTTTTGACAATCCCTGGTTCCAAAAAAAAAAAAGACTAGTTTTGGGAGGTTTCAGTCGGGAACAAGGGCTCCATCAGCCTAGATTCCAGGCCACATGTATTATGCTCTGTCAGAATTTTGTCTACATTTTGTCTTGAGGCTTTGTGGAAGACTGAGATTAAGGACAGTAGACTAGTGAATTTGGCAGAGGAAATTTCCAGGCAGCCAAATGTCGAGGCTGCAGCATAGGTACTGTTGGGGATTTTAGCCAGCTCTACATTGAGAATCAAGAGCAAACGGCACAGTTGAATGATTTTAAGTTTTGAGTTTGGCCAGAAAGGAAGATCTGGTAAAGTTGTGGCCTGCAAAATTGGAGCAGAGAAGAACTTGGTTGCTGAAAAGTTTAGCATTAAAAGAAGCTTATATATTAAAATATTTTTGAAACAACAGAATAAGTAATTTGAGGAATTATTCAAACTTCTTTCTTTGTTTCATTTATACTACTAGTTTCTCTTAGTTCATTGAAAATAAAGTTTTGTGCTATTATCTGTTTCTACTTTATAAGAGAGAATCTTTTTTGTCTATGTCTTGTACTCTGAGTAACCACTTTGAAGATACATGGTATATTTACTGTTGTTATTCTCTTATTATTTTGTTAAGACATTTTATTTTTTCAAAAATCAAAAATTTATTTAAAGAAACCCCTCTAATTGGAAGCTGGGAATAAAAGAAGCTGAGTATTTCACATCGATAATACAAAGGATGCCTTGAGATCATGAGAAGAATCTGAAAGATTTCATCCTTAAGACTCAAGGGTGGAAAAGTGAAAGTCATTGCTTTGAGAAGAGTCCCTTAGGGAACCCTGCTTGAGAAAGGCTGCCTAAGAAACAACTTCCTGAATTTCAGTTCACAGAGCTCAGCCATCCAGTCACTCAGATACCCCTGAAGCCATGATGCAAAAGCCATGATACTGCTGGAGCTCACAGCATCCCTTGGTGTCATCCTTGTGGTGCTGGTTTTACAGGCATTCAGAATGAATGAGTTGTAGGGTCATGGAGGTTTCCAGCCACATTTCAGAAGAAGGATTGGGAGGCCAGTGTACCCCTGAGAGGGCAGCGTGTGAAACTGTGAGGATGAAATGAATAGTGCAATGTCTGGAGAACCCAGAAATTTGCAGAAGCCAGGAATGTAGAATACCTAAAGAAAGCCACAAGGAGTAAGCAAAGCCAGCACAAGGCAGAATCCATGAGGGCTACTACTACTAACAATGCTTTAGAGGCAAGGTTGCCCAAGACCTTTAGAGTTTACAACTCCTCACCACAACTTGCCCCAGGTGCTGG